TGGCGCTCAAGATGATCATTAGACATATGCACATCAGATGATCAGATATTTTATATAGATTTAGTAATAAGTACAAATTTTGTTTACATTTCTATGAGTTCCATACCAATATTTATCCGTTAGATTGCGACACGGCGCTTACGCGCTTCGATATTGAAAAAAAGTTCAGAGCATTCAAAAAATATCAAAATATAAAACAAATTAATTAATTTTCGGTACAGGAAGCACGATGCCATGCACCACTAGGGTTTTGTTTATTTTCGGCACGTGAGTGTTCCGGTCTCGAATATCAATGCATTTATTTCCTGAGAATTATGGATTGAGCATTATTATTCGTTGTAGATAGATATAAATTCCATTTGTTTGCATGAGAAAATATTATTTACCCGTTAAATACAAATCAAATGTTTAGTGTACAATGCAAACTACACCCTTATAGAATGCTTAGAGGGCGTCCATTACGTAACGTGAGCGAGTTTTTAAGGATTTTTGAACCCTCTCTCCCTTTTGGTGATACATGGTGATATTCAAAATCACCCCCCCTCCCCCACCCAACATCACGTGTATTTTTAGTTATGTGAAAAAACTGTAAAATTTTTGAATGAAGTAATTTGTTTGAAAATGTTTGATTTTTTTAAAAAAAACTGTTAAAAAATAAAATAAACGTGATATCTGACTATACCCCTCCCTCCCCCACGTGATATTTTGTGATTTTTTGTCAATATAATTGCTCAAAGTCAAATTGTCCTTTTGTGCCTCGTCCTACTCTACTAGAACTCATAATACATGAATCCATTCCGCAGTCTGATTACAGAAGATATGTGTTCTTGTGTTTGATTCAAATGCATTACATATATAAAAACTTGCAGAAATCGAGCAATATTTAAAGCACGTGATCTTTCCATAATGTTGACTTCATCAGTGTCGCCCGTTAGCGTTTAATATGTGAGTTCTCTCAATGGGTCCCCCATTTTCGCGAGGCGTACGTGAGACGGGAAGCCGTGGCCGCTGGACGACGCGAGGCGCGCGCGGCCGGGTGCATTCAAGGTCACGTACGAGACTTGTATACTAGCAAACGAAGCCGCCGTTCTGGAACACATACTTAACAGAGGGGCTCGTCAAGTTATTTTATCAAGCGAAAAGATTTGTCTTCATGCTCGAGATCGCCTTAGTAGAAAATAACGTATTTAGACGATAGGTTTTCTGGGTCGTTGATATATGCAGATTATAGTTTCTATTCATCTCGGATTTTGTGCATTATGATATAAGATCGATTCGCAATGATTCAAATAATGATATTGCAAGAACTAAATACGTCATAGTATTATAATATAAAACGTTTCATACAACAATTAGCATACGCTCATTATTTAAGAATCTGCAAAAAAATATGTTGAGCTATCAGTTGATTTAAAATATACATACAGGTTATAAATAAATAAGAGATTATACTAGAATATCTTAGAGATAATTATAAGAAGATCAATAATAATTCGATTAACTT